CATAATCATGTCTGGTACCTTGAATACTACACATTCCGAGAGATAAGTGTAAACCCCGGTGGTAGACCCAATCCTGCAAACTAATAGATTTGTGATATCCGTTTGGTCTGCTAACATTTTATGTGTGCCCGTCAAATTCTCCTATTTAATACAAAGATTAAAAAGAGTTTATTTAACCTGGGTTCCAAGTTCTCTATAGCCCGTCAAATTCTCCTATTTAATACAAAGATTAAATAGAGTTTATTTAACCTGGGTTCCAAGTTCTCTATAGAGACAAACTCCTATAGTTAATTACATCTCAACTGACATAAGTCACTTGAGAAAACTCTCGATAATAATCAGTGGTTCTAGCCTTCAAGAATTCGAGGTTTAGGTTTTCACGGCAGAACTTGGAAAATAGAATGAGAGTGACTCAAAGAGGAACAATTATTTTCAGGAGTCCAAAGAAAATAAAGGGTAGAGGACGTCACAGATCCTGAGGAGAATCCTCAGTGACTTCCCAAACTATCCTACTGTGTGGTTATGTTTTATAGAGGATGTTATTTGAGTGCTCAATCCTGTCAATTTTATTTGTTTGAGACTTACACTTGCATAATAACTGGTTATGCAAATAGCCCGTAGAGATGAGGGTTGCAAGAGGTTTCCCTAGGGGTTGCTCCTATTAATGTAGGAACTCAATTCGAGTTTCATATGTTGGTCCTAAACACATATGATGCCGAGGATTCGGGTTTCATATGTTTAGCCCGCATAATAACTGGTTAGCAAGATGTCGAGGATTCGGGAACGCCCATACGAAACTCAGAGAAGTGACGAGGTGACTCGAATTTTCTAAATGGTGTAGGTCTGGTACTAGTCCTCTAAGAGGGTCAAACAAAGAAAACCTAAGGCTAGACCCTAAGCTCTAAGGAGAGAAGTAAGTAAAGACCTCACCCAAAAATGAGGTCAACAACCACATATGATGGAAGAGGAAGAAAGAAGAAAGAAGAAAGAAGAAAAATGAATCTCTTCATACATGATACACCACTTGAAGAGGGGAGGAAGAACAACTACGCAACATGGAGCAATTCTCGTACACAACTTAGAACTAGGGAGAACACTCGATTGGCCTCAAGATAATTTGATATTAATATTTACTTCATCTGCATGCAAGTCACGGATCCCTTTTTATAGAAACAAAGTCACAAAAAGGAGCCCAATCATTTAAAAATAAATATAATCCCATTTAGAATCCAAACCAATCCACCCGGGCATTCAATCTCAAGTCTAAAATTATCTAAAGAGATAATTAAACTTAAATTAAATAAGTCATGAAAAATATGAGAAATAGCAAAAAAGAAGGTATGTTTAAACTTTAAACTCATCTGTAGCCTAGCTTGGCTACTTCTTGTCGGCTTATAAAAATTATCGTTTTTGCACGTGTCATAACTAAATTGTATTGCATCAATTCACTTTGCACTTCTCTTGAAGATTTTGCAGGAGGCGGCTGAGGTGGAGGAAGTGGCATCATTAGATTATCTAATGAAAAAAGCAAACGTGCAGGACGAACAATAAAAACAAGAAGAAAGACATATTCAGAGACTTTATTGCTAGGTGTCTCAAAATGTCATGCAAGTATCATCTTTGCAAAATGGGGACATAATGAAATAGGTGAGAATCATGATAATGGCATCACAAACTCAATCTCCAAGTGTGGGTAGTAGGAAAAAAAAAATGTTTATAATTCAATAGAGACCCAATATTTATGATAACGGAACGAATACAATGTTATACAGTGCACTTAGGGGAGTGCACTATTTGATCAAACCGAAAAATCGAATCAAACTGATTGGATTTGATTGATTCTATTCAGTTTTGAAATAGTGATTTGGCTTTTGATTTTATTTAATATTTGATCTTTGATTTTTGGATCAATTTTGATGTTCATTAAAAAAAAAACTGAAGAATCGAATAGCACTAGGTCTGAAACATTGAATTTCACTTAAACCGACTGGCTCATTTATAGCTCCACATGGTATGGCTCGACTATTTTGATAATCTCATGGTCAATTTGAGAGCGAGAGAGGGAGGGAGGGAGGGAGAGGGAGAGGAAATCTCTCCAAATAAAAACTTATTTTTAATAATTTTAGGCTCAATATAAAATTTTAGTCTGCTAAAAAAGCCAAACAAATTAAATCAAACTACATTTCAATATTTGCAAAAGTTTCTCCGGTCAATTTTTTTTTTAATTTAATTTTATTTGGTTTGACCACTCAGTGGACCAACCCATCTAAATAAAGCAAACGCGCACCATAGGTGCGATAGAATTAAAATAGACTACTTTTCCAAGTATAAAGAACCTTAATAGTCTTGTGTAAAAAGCCAATATATTTGTTAGCTTCACAATTGATAAACATATCAATTAATTGTGCAATAAATATGAGACCTAACAATCCCCTAAAAACACAACACCCATCCGACCATTTCAAATGGGCGAAAGAAACAAAAGAACACATGACTATGGCAAGAGGATGAGAGTTTGCCCAGGGGTTACCATGCAGGCACCACTGCATGAAGCAAATAAAAGATCTGCGTATAGTAAGCTTTAATAAAGAGTATGTGCACTCGTGCTTGCACCGATTGCTTCACAGTGAAAAAGATAAATATAACTCAATTAGATGCCTGCGAGTGTGGTGAGAGGATGTAAGAATGAACAAACACGTGAAGATTATATAAGAATTCAAAAGTTTGATAAAAGAAAGATCAAATCTATCTCAAACACCACATTTGATGGAGGTCAAAGTATGAAGAAACAGAGAGGGATAATAAAAAGGGACAGTTGCATACATAGCACCCAATTCTTATGTAAATAGATATCCAAAACATAAACTTTCATTTTTACATTTATAATGCTCCAATCTTTGGTATCACATCAAAAATACCACCATTTTAAATTTTAAAAAGTGAAATAAACCTTTACATGCATAGGTAAGGTAGCACATATGTAAAAATTAAAGTTTGAGTGTTAAATATGTACAAATAAATAAGAATTGAGTGGTATGCATGTAAATCTTCCTAATAAAAAACTGTGTATACAGCTTAGAGAGGGGAGAAAGAACTCCACACCTTAGAGCTATCCACATATACAACTTGGAACTAGAAAATATACCAAGCGGTCAACATGGTCAACATACACAGCTTGGATCAATAGAAAATAATAAATTAACCTCAAGAATAGTTGATACCAATATTAAATTCATCTCAACACAAGCCATGAAACTTTATATATAAAAATAGGGTTGCAATGATAAAGCCTTTTATTTGAAATAAATAAAATCCAATTTTAAATGAAATTCAATCCTACCAAAATTTCCCTTTAATATTATCCAAGTAAAATAATAAAATAACTAAATCTACTAAATTAAACCAAATAAAAAATATAGGAGATCCAGCCTAAAATAAATAAAAACCTAAAAAGGCTTGAAAGCTAGTCTACTATTGTTCTTTCGTAGATCTATTCAGCCACTGTTACTTGGCTTATGAGCATTGATAAGGGTCGTTACTAATATACTAATAAGTTAAAACTTATTTGATATTCAACGTGATTTGAGGGGCCTATTGTGTCATAGAAAAGTACCGCTCAAACTTAAAAGTGAAATTTTATAAGATGATAGTGAGACATGCGCTTTAAGGTGCAGAATTTTGGCATAGGTGGATGGAGAAACATAGAACTAAACTTAGAGACAAAATGTGAAACGATTATATCCATGAAATGCTTAGGTGGATGGGTGGCATTACGCTTAGAGGCAAAATGCGAAACAAACATATCCGGGAAAGGGTTGGTGTAACTCCAGTGGCAGACAAGATTAGAGAGAATCATCTGTTACATTGGGGCCTAAACTTAGGACAAATTTGTCTTTTGTACGCCTAAGGGCAATTTAGTTTTTGTTGGAATAAATAAGTCTGCTGTCTAGGGTAAGGCTTATGCATGAGATTGAGTTGTGAGTCTTAGGTGTGAGTCTTAGGTTTAGGGTTTGGGAGAGATTTCTCACCTCTTAAATTGTAAGAATTGAGAGAAACTGTCTAACTCTCGAATTGTGAGTGTTTATCTTTATATTCTTGTTGAGTTGTTTAGATTATTGAAGAAAAATTGTGTTTTCCCTAATTTTTGCGAAAAAACGTGCTGATTTTGACGTTGGATAGTATCGTAACGTCATCTTAGATGATTTGGTCACATTAAACGTCGGTCATCTGATGATCCGATTAGAAGGGTAAATGTTTTAGATTTGACATACGTTAAGAAATGTAGAGATAGACATAAAAAGACCTGAACATGTTGTACAGAAAATGATCTTAATTTATTAGAATTAATGAAAATATGACACTCAATAGGACACAATGGAGAAAAAAGATTCATGTAGTTGGCCACACTTAGTGGGATAAAGGCTTGTTGTTGTTGTTGTTGTTGTTGTTGTTGTATATGGATCTCGGCAAGCCTACTCATATCATTAACCTCCATATTGATCGTCATTCTCTTTTAGAGAAAAAGCTTTCAGAACTCTGTATTATAAAAGAAAATCTAAACAATATATAAATTGAGAAAAAAAAATGACCCCTGCACTTTGATGTAGAAGGTAAGAAAAATAAAGCATAATATAAGTAAATCAGTATGTTGATTCATGCATCACTATAGTAGCATATTTCCAACTAAAAGAGAAAAAAATAATAGAAAAGGGGCTTTTACATACGTACCTCACAATTCTTATGTATTTACATATCTAACAGCTAAACATTCATATTTACATGCATATCCCTAAAATCTTTAACATCACATCAAAATATCACCATCAATATCTTCTAAAAAGTGAAATACAGCTTTTCGTGCATATAGTTTATTACACTAAGATGTTATGGGGCGTTAGATATGTAAATACATAAGAATTATGTGGCATGTAAATAAATTTTTCCAGAAAAAAAAATCTTTCGACAATATGGTCATAACAGCAGCAGCTCATAAAACATACCTATTGACAATAAGAAATAGTGTCGCGCATCCGCCAGACTATCCACAGCAATGATACCAAGAGGGATTGTGAAATGGAGAGAAGCTTTCTCGTGAACATGCCACCCAAACATAAACCCACAGGTGAAGGTATAAGCCACCCATCTGACTATGTGTTTCGGCTGCGGCCTTATAAATGCCTTAATGAGGCAAGGTGACATGGCAAGAAGAACAAGCAAAAATGTTGCAATAGGGTTTACCTGTCACTAAAACATGTTATGAACTTATTTTTATGAAAGATTCAGATGCACATCACTCAATGCTTATGTATTTACATATCTAACACCTAAACTTCAATTTTTACATATATGCATACCACGTTACCTATGTACGAAAAATATGCATTTTACTTTTTAAAAGTTAAAATAGTGGAATTTTTTATGTGATGTGAAAGATTTGGGTGGTATAAATGTAAAAAGTAAAGTATAGGTGTTATATATACAAAAGAATTAGCTATCAGGATGTAAGGCGGTAAGCTTGAATATAAAGAAAGGCCTAATTTAAAAAAACAAAGTTATTTTAAATGACCACCTGGGGAAGGACAGCAAAGGAAGAGGAATCCCCAACTAGTCCACCGGTGAAAGAAGCCTTCGGTGTTTGAATACTGAAACCCAGCTTGCCAAGAATAAAAGCAAGCACCTTGTCAAGCATTATATAAAATACCCAAAAATTTGGAGCCCAATATGCATGACATAAGCCCCTCCCAAATGGGAATAGGCGATGGAAGACCTGTTGGATCTGCCAAAGCATCGAAGCGTATCACTAATTGAATCAAAACATGCTCCTCCACAATTCATGCTCACCGATTATAGCGAAAATGAGAAAAGTATTAAAATAGTCCCCTGACTCTTTGCATGGGGGTCATTTTAATCAGAGTCTATAAAAATATCAATTTAATTCTCTAAATCTTGTAATAATGGCAAAAATAGTTGAACAATTTCAGCCCCAATTTAAAAAGTATGTAGACTAATATGACGCTTTTATAGACTCCTAGACTAAAATGGCCTCATGTAACGAATCGGGAGACTATTTTGGGTTTTTACTATTTCAAAAATACTTAACGATTACTACTTAGTCGAATCAAAATATATTATTATAGTAGAATCATGAACTCTAAGAGAAAATAGCATTTCAATATAAGAAAGAAGAGACAAAAAATTGTTTAAAATAGGGTGATGCAAGATGTCCTAGTATCTATTACTTTTAGTGTAACTATAATAAAAGAAGACATGAAAGCATGTTCTTTTTCTATGAATTTTGTAGATGAGATGCAAATAAACAAATACAAAAATTCATGGACAAGTAAACCATCTAATACAAGCAATTAGGTGCGACTTGGATGATAAATAGAAAGAAATAGAATTCAATTAGATGTAAAGAAAGCTTTGATCTCCTAATGATATTAACATTAACAAATAAGAATAATGGAAATCATAAAAATTAACACATCTTGAATATAAATAAATACAGATATATAGAAAACATAGAAATTTATCAATTATGCTATCAACTAATCACTAACAATTGAAATACAAAGAAAGATTAAAAAAAGTGTGAATCAAACATCAAGCTTCTCACTTTAAGAAAATATTTAATCTCCTAAAATACTTCAAATCACGAGTCCAGCACTTGATCAAGGGCCAAGGTTTTAGAAGGATGATAAAAACTTTACATCCACAAAGATAACCCAGTATTCGAGCATGAAAGAAGAACTGATTTTGTGGTGAATGAGAACCTAAAAGTAAAATTTGATATATTAAAACAGAACTATCTAATTTATAAGCTTTAATCCGAATATATATCTAATTTATAAGCTTTAATCCTAATATATTGAATGACCTTATATAGTCGAGCATATATAGTCCAATAATTCTTAGATATTTCCGAATTCACATGGCTCATCATGTTGTCACCTATTGAAAACTCAGTATATCTTCTGCTAACATCTACAAAGAAAGTTGCAAATATCATAATTAATAGCATACTTGCTGCAAAAATTCAAATGTAAATCAAGAAGAAGAAGGATAAGGAGGAGAAAAACAGCATTTTTACCTGACCGTAGTACACGAACGGGCCAAAAGTCGCGAGGAAGACTATCCCGACCGCTAAGCCCATCATCAAAAACCTAGCCACCACTCTACTCCACTCACCATTACAATAATGCCGGAGCAAATACACGAAGTACAAAGGCGCGGCTACCATGAAGAGATGTTTGGAACAAATCAGAATAGCAAACACGATCCCCCCAGCAAGATCCCTTCCCTCCACCAAAAAACCTAGCGAAATCAGTAAAATCCCTAAAAGAAACCCATTATACTGAAAGTGTATATGATCCACGATCAGAAGCGCGGGAGACCAGACTACGAGCACAAGAACCATCCGACGGCGGAAATAGGGTAGACGACGGGAGAGACGATCAGCCCCGGCTAGAAGAAAGAGGTCGGCAGCGGAGACGGAGAGGCGAAGAAAAACGACGGCCAAAGGTGCGGCGTAGTTCTGGCCGGCGATGAGATCGGTGATGGTGGGATCGATAAGAGATGCGGGGAGGGATAGAAGGAAGGAGAAATAGGCGAATAGTGGGGGGTAGTCTAGGGTCCATGGGCTTGAGATGTCGAGGTACCAACGAGAGAGTGGGAGAGAGGAAGTGAGGGCGAGCCAATGGCGGGGGGGCTCAAAATCCGTGCTGCGGTGTGAAGGTATGAGAAGGGCCTTTATACATGTAGATAACGAGAAGAACCACAATAAATCGTCCATGAAAGAAACGAAGGAGGAGGAGGAGGAGGGGAAAACCAGGACCTTTGTTGGCCTTTTTGTGTACTGTTTAGCCTATGTAGCTGCCAATATCCAAAACTTCGACCAGACAACAAACAAAGTTTAGGAATTTGATTCAAAAAATTGACATTTTAATTTTTACCCACCTTTCTGAAATATCAGTTTTATTCCTTTTAAAATATTTATTTGTTATTTTTTGCTCTAACCTCTCCCACGTCAAGTATATAGAAACAGTTTGCCCGTCTAAAAAAAGATGCTAATTCTACCCCTGCCAGCATTGCTCCAATGGCAAACCAGACGCCGGCAAAAACATGCAACTGTAGCAAAACCATGCATCTCCAACATGCATTCTAGTGATCTTCTTCAATGGGGTTGCTTTTAGTCGTGGGATTGGTTTTGTAGGAGCAGCAGAGAGAGTATAAGAGAGATTGTTGTGTGCGCGTTCGATGGTCGGAGGGAGAGACGTGTTTGTCGGCGAGGGAAAGAAATGGTCGGCGGGAGTGTTCTTGAAATCGTTGGATTGTGGATGAGATTGTGTTGGCGGAAAGGGAGGCTAGCGGTTATGGGTGTGACAAGACATGCTTGGGTGAGAAGGTCTGATTGAGAGGCGGTGTCGGCATGGGAGTGCAGAGAGGCATAGGGTGCGTCGACCGTGTGGATGTGTCGGATCGTGCGGCAAGCCGTAGCTATGTGAGAAAGGGTTGCGTGGCGGGTGACCGAAGTTGCATGGTTTTGCTAGTGTGTGGGTTGCTGTCGAAGCAGCGCGGGCGTGAAACCGAGAGGCGCAGTAGGGAGACATGAATGCGTTAACAGAAATGTGGATTTTGTAATATTAAATTTTAGCCTGTGAGATACAAAAATAATAGATTTTGAGATACTATATAGAAT